AGCGGTGAGTGGCGGCCCCGCCGCTGTCACCGCCCGGTGGCGCCGCTGCAGCCGCACGCTCCGGGCCCTGTGTCCCCACACCCTGCGACTCCCGCGGGGTCGTTCGCCGGCTCCCGAGCCCTGGCCCTGGGTCTGCTGCACCGCTCTCACTTTCCCCGGGCTGGCGCTCCTGTCCCCTCGCCCCTTCTTTGACAGCCAACTCCCAGAGCAGCGCTTGCTGCCCAGTCCCGCCCAGGCTCTCCCAGCCCGCCGATCCCCCTGGCAGGTTTCCACACCCCGGACTCTCAGATCCCTGGTGCGTGCCTCAGTCCCTCTTCTTCCGTGGCCCGCCTGGGACCTAGTTCCAGTTACCGGCCCCTGGTTTTCAATCATTCTCCGGTTCAGGTCTCTTATCCCTAGTGTCTCCTCTTTCTCCAAAGGCAGTGGGCATCTCTAGACCCTGGGTTTGCTGGCCCCGAACCCCTGTCCACAGCAAATCGGAGCGGCAGCTCCCGGTCTCCTGAGGGCGTGCTGTGGACGCTTTGTCTTCGGTCCCTCTTATTCCCCGCACCTGCGTCCCCAGAGCCGGCCCATTAGTCTCGCAGCTTCCCTCTCCCGGCTGTGTCTTTTGCATTTGGGCTGTTGGTTCATTCTCGAGCTCTCTCCATTTCTTCCCCTAGCTCATCGTTTGAGGTCTCTGGTTGTCCTGAAACCCTTCCCTTCTTGCCCAATGCCGAACCTGTATGGGGCAGATGCCTTGCCCAAGCCAGTACCACTGGCGGAGAGGTGGAGCGGGTGGGGAGGCTGGAAGGGAGAGGAAGATGGGTGTGGACGGCACGTGCTCAGTGATCCTGAAGTTTAGTCCCTTGAGTCTGTGTCTCCATTCCTGTCTCCCTCTGAAGAGTCCTGATGCAGTTTTGGTGCTAAGTCATTCCTGGGTGTTGTATGTAGACATGGGAGTGACTCAGGAAAGCCTTGTGTTGGCTGTTGACTCTCTTGCTGGACACAGGGATCTGCATTCCCTTAGGAGGACTCGCCATCCCACATAGTTTGTGTGTGTGTGTGTGTGTGTGTGTTTCCCTCACTGTACAGTTGAATTTTAGAGTCCCTGAACCCAGTCCCTAGCCTTTCGTTCAGGTGTTTTCGGGATGGAGAGAGTGCTAGGACAAAGGAGAGTCTTTATTTTTAGCTTTGAAGTTATTTCTGTGCATTTAAAAAAGGATGTTAGATACTTTTTGTTATTCAAGAGCAAGGTTTATGATAAGAACTGATGGTCTTATTTAAGGGGCTGGTGGAGGGGTTTCCTTGGGGAGGTACTTGCATCTGCTAAAGCAAATCATTGGATCTAATTAAAGTTTCAGATCATTGAACGCTGATGATACACAGCAAAGATTTGAGCTGCCTTCCACCAAGAGGTATTGGAGCCCAACATACTGGGTTCACATCCTGGTTCTACCACACACAGCTGTATAATTTTAATTAATTAATTCAGTATGTGTATGCACGTGTGTGGGTGTGTAGGTATGTTTGCCTGTGCACGTGTGTAGGAGGGCCAGAAATCAACTTTGGGTGTCTTTCTCTGTTGCTTTCTCCTTTATTTGTTGACTGGTCCCAGAGCTCACCATTCCAGCTAGACTGTCTGGCTCTAGAATCTTGGAAATCCTCCTGTTTGCCCCTGTCCACCAGTGCTGGACTTACAAGAATGCATACATGCCAGGCTTTAACGGTGGGTGCTGGGAATCCCGACTAAGGTCCTCTTGCTTAAGCAGCAAACAATTTACTGACTGAGCCATCCTTCCAGCCTTTAAAGCTGTGTAAGGTTGAATAACTAACTTGGAATTCTCAGCAAAGTGAGGATGCACCATAGCATCTACCTCCTAGACCAGTAATGACTGAGTAATGACTGAAGGTTGCTCAGCTACACCAATGGGTGATGAGCCTCGTAACGGGGCTCATTATTAGTGTTTCCATAAAGGTGGAGTTGGGCCTGGGGACAGGCCTGCTTCTTGGCCCATCTGGGACAAGGGTGGAACTAGGCACCCTGAAATTCTTTGGGATGCTGAGGAGTAAACCCAGAGCCTCATCTATGCTGACCCTGGGTGCTCTCACTGAAGACACTCTTAGTCCTCACCTTTCCCTTTTAATGTGACCAAAGGGCCTGCCACAGCCTCAGATTTCTGGAGTGGAAACTCTTTTGCTTTCATTGGAGGAGGAATTGAAATTGAGAAACCAAAGGGAATTGAACAGTTTATCTTTGAAGGAGACACATAGTATCAAAACTCTGCCTCAAGC